AAAAAGTTCGGCCATGTTGGAAAGAATTGCAGGTTCAAGAAAGCTGATGTGGAAATTGCCAATTTTGGCAAGGAAGATAATGAAGAAAGCTTGTTTTGAAGAAGAAAATAAGAGGTTGCTAATGACAAGTGCATTAGCAGAAATATTTGGTGACATGAGCACCAAAATTAAAAGGAAAAATAAAGGAGATATATTCGAAAGGAGAATTTGGGAGATCTCTGGTGACACGAGCATCAGATCAGTTAGAAAGATGGTAACACGAGTACCAAAATTAAACAACAAAATTAAGGTTGGTAACATGAGTACCAACACAATGACAAGAAGAAAAGTCAAGATTAGAAGTTGTCGGTGACAAGAAAAAAGAAACATCATCAGAGGCCGTTGGTGACAAGAGCATCAACAAACAATCGAAAGAATATTTTGAGAAGACGACGTACAGTTTGGTGTACAAGATTTTTCAGATTAAGGGGGAGTGTTAAAAATAAGCTAATAGCTAATCTCGAAAAATCTTGTAATTTCTAGTTAAAGCTATTTTACAATATTCTAGAATAGGCTTAAGAAAATATCTAGGAAAAATCTAAGAAAAAATCTAGCCTAGAGGGAAGTCCTAGATAATGTTAAGTCACCTAAAAAGATCTAGAGTAAAGGTATACTAATATGTTGGTGGAAAGAACTGACTTATACCTACTATAAATAAGAGTAGGAGTAGCCATGCAATGTAATTCACTTCATGCAATAATAATTTCATCCTTGCAACCCATCACGTACTACTTCCACTTCTATTTCCAACAGAATTAAGCAAGAAGATTTTTACGGAATAGTTGTTTAGGGGTTGTTTAGAATAGAGATAATTAAGGGAGTTTAATTTGTGTGTTGGGGTTTGTTGGAAATTAAGGTCAGTTTTTACGGGGAATGAAATAGTGAGAATATAATAATATTGTTAAAAATTAATATATATATATATATATATATATATATATATATATATATATATATATATATATATATATATATATATATATATATATATATAGAGTGTGGATCATGTGAAAACAAGTGTAAAGATGAAAACTAAAAACATACAATCTCCACCGTACATAAAATTCAATGGCTGAGATTAGATACATGCTAATTATTTTCTCTCTCCTCTCTCTTCTCTTTCCTACCTTCTCGAATCCCCCAGCTTCAATTTCTCCCATTTATCATTTTCTCTCTCCTCCAATTCCCCCAAAAAAACCCTAGATCTCTCCGTCGCTCTGCCGTTCACGGCGCTCTTCTTTCTCTCTCCTCCGTCGACTCCTTCACCGGATCGCTTAAATTGTGTTCTCCTTGTTTCAGATTGCTGAATTTGTAAGTTTTTGTTCTATCTTCAAACCCTAGATTTTAATTCATTTTCTAGGATTTTCGTTTTGATTTCATGAATAGAGCTCAGTTTTCGATCTCGAATCGTTCGATAAGAGTAATTCGCTGCTTAAGTTTTTCTTTTTTTTTTTGCTCAGTTTCGTGTCTGAATTTCGAATTAGCTGAGAGGAGTGAACAGGAGAGGAGGGAGCGAGTGGACTCGGCCGAATTGGTTGAATCGGTGGCTGATTCGAAGGATGACGGTGGTTGTGGAGGAGGGGTGAAGGAGAACAGTGACGTACAGAGCAGTGTTTAATTAATGGATGCTCCTTCTGCGAGAGCTCGCGCTAATTATGATTATCTCATCAAACTCCTTTTAATCGGCAATAGTGGTAATGTATTTATTATATGATTGAATATGCGTTTTTTTTAGATCTTTGATTGTTTCTCAGTTTGTAATCAAATTGATTGATTTGTGATATTTGTGGCATTGTGTTTGTTGTGTTAATGCACGGCATTGCTGGTTTGTCGATCTCATTTCGCTTTTGAGGCCAAGGAAGTTTGGTTTATGGTCTAGGAAATGGATTAATCATGGGCGTAGTGTGTTATCATCTGATGATTTTTAGCATTTGAGTGTGTTGAAGTGCAGGATGTGGTCTACTGGTCTGATTGGTTGTTGTTCTGTAATGTATTGTTTTGTGAATCATAGCCTCATAGGCTTATATATGTTAAATGGTAGAAGTGTGTCCTTAGAAATTTATTTCTAAAATTCGAGTATGCTAGTTTGCGTTATTGCGAGCTCTATCATGCCTAATCTTACCTTGTCAGCTGGAGTTAGTATAGTAACCTTCTTCAGCCTTTGTGAAGATTTATCTCTGATTGTATGATTTTTGGTGCCTGCCTGTTCAATATCTACATTTAGTTGGGATTCCTCATATACAGGTGGCTTGCTCGTATCATGATATCCTGGTATGCTTTTATTTGCCTCTGCTTCTGTTCTTGAAACGTTGATCTTGTCAAGCTTGTTTTGCTTCAGTCTGTATGATGTTGGTCTGTGATGTTGGTATGCTTTTATTGGTTGTTTTGGCATGTTGAAAGCCTATTAGCTCAATTGGTCGAGCACCGTGTAATCACGGGATGTAGGTTCGAATCCTACATAGACTTTTTTAATACTTATTTTTATATTTATCGACCTCTAGGTAAATGGTGTCAAATTGATATAATTACCCGAAGTTAATATATAGTTACCTTATTTTCGATATAATGACCTTAGAATTATGGAAATGTTGTAAATTTTGTTTCAGTCACCTTATTTTTATATATAGTGACCTTTATTTTTGTATATAGTGACCTTTATGTAAATGGTGTCAAGAACTCAGACGATATAGTTACTTTATTTTTGTATATAGTGACCTTAATGTAAATGTTGTAAAAATTGTTATAGTTACCCTATTTTTGTATATAGTGACCTCTATGTAAATTTGGTCAAAATTGAAATAGTTACCCTATTTTTGTATATCGTGACCTTAATGTAAATATTGTAAAAATTGAAATAGCTACCCTATTTTTGTATATAGTTACGTTATTTTTATATATAGTGACTCTATGTAAATATCGTCAATTTAGATAAAGTTACTTTATTTTAGCATGTAGTGACCTTTAAAACGTTGCGTTTGTCAAAAAAAAAAAAAAAAAAAAAAAAAAAAAAAAAAAAAGACCTTTAAAACGGTTGAATTGATTATATGTAAGGTTGGAATGATCTTAGGGATTTAGAACCGTCTGATCTTTTGTGCTAGTAATGAATGGCTAAGATTGCTTGTTTTTAGTTTTCACCATAAGCTCTGTTTTTAGCGGAACCTCCCCGTATATATATATATATATATATATATATATATATATATATATATATATATATATATAGAGGAAGGCTCATATAAGAACCCTCCTCTATATAAGAACCCATTATATATAAGAACTAATCTGGACCGTACAATTAGTTTGATCTGACCGCTGAAAATAAATGATTAGTAATGGCATTTTAGTAATTTTCGCTGTTCTTTTCCCTTTCTCTCTCCTTATTCACGTTTCTTCTTTCCTTTTTTTTGGGCTTGGAACATTACAGCTCTCTCTCTCCTCTCATACATTACAAATTTACAGCTCTTTCTCTCTCCTCTCATACATTACAACTCTCTCTCCTCTCATACTTTTGGATGCAAATTCCTTCAAGAAATTAAGGTTTGTTATTCAATTTTTATAATTTTGATTATCCTTTTAGTTAATTTATTTATTGATATCTATTTTTTGCGAATTTTTGTTGAATTTTTTTTATTTTGGCGAATTTGTGAGAAATTTTATTTTTTCTAATTATTTGTGGATATGCAATTCATCAATTCGAAAATCAGCAAAAATCTGTTTTTTTTTTCTTTTTGCGATTTCATCATTCAGTTTATGTTGATTTTATCTTCTTTTTTTTTTTTTTTTTTTTTTTTGCGAATTTTCTTGAGTTTTTTTCATTAATTTCATCAATTTCAATTTTTCATTTCCAGAATTTTTCGATGTTATATGTTTTTTTTTTCCGACTTTCGAGCAATTATTTTCTGTTTTTTTCGATTTTATCTGTTTTTTTTTTGCGAATTTTCTTCAGTTTTTTTTCATTAATTTTCTGTTTTTTTTTGTTTTTTTTTTTGCGATTTTTCATTTCAAGATTTTCTGTTTTTTCCTTTGCTTGAGTTTTTTTCCAGATTTTTGATTTTTAATGGATTTTAATTTCTAGTTGCTTTTTTGCTACAATATGTGTTTTTTTAAATAGGTTTTTGCATATTGATGGATTTAGATGGTGTTCAACCTAATTATCCTTCTTCTTGTGTTACTTATTCAGGTAATTTTATTGTTTTTAATGTTTTAATTTCAATTTACTTACATGTTCTAAAGTTTCTTTACTACGTTCTAAAGTTTATCGGTAATGTTCTAAGTTTTCTCTATATGTTCCCATCCGAATGATAAGCGCAAATGCCATGTTCCGTTGCCTGTTGAACTCCTTTTAGAATGCAGAATACATCGGAGTATGAAAGAGTGGTTGATGAAGGATTATAAAAAGTAGTACGTGTTAGATGCTTCATCCAAATATACCATAAATGTACCAATCGCAATTGAAATCTGCTACTGACACTGTATATTTTCACATGGAATTGAATGTGTAGTAGTGAGTCCTAGTGATAAGGGTAAACGACAATACTAATTTAGAATTGTCATGAGTCACATCTTTATGAAATAGCAGAGATATTTTCACAAGCTATGTTAGAGTGTAGAGTCTATAATTTGCAACCCCACACATGCACTTGCAAATCACTGATTTAATATTTCTTCACTAGGCTTTTCAAACTTTTTTGAGATTGTTTGTTCTCTGTTGGAGCACTGTTTAGTACTACAAACTAAAATTAGATGGATTTTATCCACTATTTTTATTTCTTAACATGACTATATTGCTTGGCCAAAACCAAATACGGAGTATAATTCAAGTAGTGCAAAAAATAACATGAGCTAAAATAAAATATTATGGTACTAATCTGAGGAAGTTAAATAATTTGATAAATAAAAAATATCTAACCCATTTTAAATAATTTGTAATGATTCAAAGTAAACTGTGGGTAAACAATATCAATCATTATCGGATAATGCCACAACAACCTCAAGGCTCGTCTTGGAGCTGGGCATTGGGGGCTTGGGAGTTGGGAATGCTACTTTATCCTAGCAATCTGACATAGGGATAGTTGATGCATGTCACTGCTACTGGAATCACCGAACCATGGCCCCACCAATCTGACATAGGGAGTAGGGAATCCTACTTTATCTTTATATTCTAAAACTTTCATTCTATGTTCTAAAGTTTACCTTCTAGTTTTAAATTTTACTTTTTATGTTCTAATGTTTACTTTCATTGTATGTTCTAAAGTTGACCTTCTAGTTTAATTTTTTCACTTTATTCTAAATTTTATTATGTATGTTATAAAGTAATTCACTATGTTCTAAAGCAATATGTTATAAGTATGTCCCTAATTTACTATGTTCTAAAGTTTATCCTTGATGTTCTAAAGTTTTCTCTGTATGTTCTAAAGTTTTCTATGTATCTTTCTCTTTATATTATAAAGTTTTTTTTATGTTCTAATGTTTTCTTCATATTCTAGGACTTTCATTGTATGTTCTAATGTTTACTTTCATGTTCTAATGCAGTTGGTGATATTTATCGTACTCCAGAGGTTGTTGGATCATTTAGCCCTGGTGGTACCACTAAGGAATGGATTCCAAGTGTTCCCGAGGAGTTAAAACCCAGTTTGGGGATGATATTTAAAGATCCTGAAGAGGGTCTTAGTTTTTATAAAGCATATGCAAATGCCGCTGGGTTTACTTCTAGGAAATCTACTACTAAAAGGAAGAAGAATAACAAAGATATAATTGCTTTTCAATATGGAGTTTGCAATAAGGAAGGTTTTAGGGCAATAAGAAAACCTATTGCTCAACAAACAGTTTATGAAGAAGGAAAAGTTCGTATTACTAGGAAACGTTTAGTCACTCGTGTAGGATGCAATGCTCACATATGTATGAGATATGATGCTGGAAAGTATGTTGTAACTCATTTCAAAGAAGAACATAATCATCCTTTATATACTCCAAGTTGTGTAAAATTTCAGAAGGATAATAGAAAAATGCATATTATGCATAAAAAGTTGATTGTTGATAATTCAAAGGTGATTTATTTTTAGGTACTAAATAATGTTTTTTTTGTTTTGATTTACTATGTTCTAAAGTTAATTCTTAATCTTAGTAATATTTTTTTTTTCTAACAGGTAAATGTTGGTCCTGTGAGGTCTTATACTATGATGAAAGAATTAGCTGGATCACATGATAATGTTGGTGCATCTAAACAAGATTTCAAAAATTTTTATAGAGATTTGAAGGCTTTTATTGATGGATCAGATGCCCAAATGTTTGTGGATAATTTTCAAAATAAGAAATTGCTCTGGAGTGCATTTTTTTTTCCTATGATGTTGATGAAGAAGATAGACTTTGTAGAGCTTTATGGGCTGATCCTATCTGTCGAAAAAATTATGCACTTTTTGGTGATATGGTTTCTTTTGATACCACATTCAAAACAAACAGGTGATGTTTTAAATATAAATTTCTTTCATAATGTAATTAATATTTTACTTTTACATATTAATTTTTTAAACATATGTTCTTATATTCTAAATATCATGCCTTGTGTTCCTAAACAAATATCCATCATGTTTTGATGTTCTAAACAAATATTCTTTATGTTCTAAACTATGTATGCCTTATGTTCTAAACATATATTGCTAATGTTCTACCTTATGCTTTAAAATATATCCATCATGCTTTTATGCTTTAAACATTATGCTTTTGTGTTTTACACTTTATTCTTTGTGTTCTAAACTAATATCCATCATGTTCTAAACATTATGTCTATATGTTATAAAGTTTACTTATAAGTTTTTAAAGCTACATTGTATATTTTTAGTTTAGTGTTTATGTTTTAGAGTAATTCATTATGTTTTAAATTAACTATATTACTGCCACGTTTAATAATTAAATTAAATTACTATCCTCTAAAGTTTATCCTTAATGTTCTAAAGTATACCTCTATGTTCTACAATTTACCTCTATGTTCTAAAGTTTACCTCTATTTTGTAACATTTTCTGCATAAATAATTTGTGTATGTTACAGATATAATATGATCTTTGGTCCATTTACTGGAGTTGATCATCATAAAAAAATGTGTTACTTTTGCGGCTTCTTTTGTAGCTCATGAGGATATATCATCTTTTGAATGGGTTTTCAAAACTTTTCTTAAATCAATGGGAAATAACGAGCCTGTGTGTTTGATTACCGATCAAGACCCTGCAATGAAAGTTGCTGTTCGTAATGTTTTTCAAACTACAGAACATAAGTTTTGTATGTGGCATATTATGAAAAAAGGTGCCTGAAAAAGTAGGTCGGGCGATTGCCCAAGACACTGATTTCTTGAAAAAAACTGTGTTCATGTGTTTGGCATTTAGAGATTGAGCCGGCAGAATTTGAAGAAAAGTGGAACAAAAGTTATTTCAGAATTCCATTTGAACGATCATGAATGGTTGGCATACATGTACAACATACGTGATATGTGGATTCCAGCGTATTTCAGAGATTTATTTTTTGGTGGCATTATGAGGACCACATCTAGATCAGAAAGTGAAAATAATTTTTTCACTATGTTCACAAATCCCCATCTCACTTTGATTGAGTTCTACATGAGGTAATAAGTAATTGTGTATATATGTTCTAAAAAGTTACTCTTTATGTTCTAAAGTTTTCCTTGTATGCTCTAAAGTTTTCTTTTTATGCTTTATAGTTTTACTATTTATTTTATAATTCTCTTTTATGTTTTCTTTTTCTCTTTATGTTTTAATAAAATATTTAGATCATAATAAACATGTCATGTATATTTATATGTCCTAATGTAATTCACTCTATGTTCTACAATTATCTTCTATGTTTTTAAAGTTAATTTCTATTTTCTATAGGTTTGAATGTGCATTGGATGCTCAAAGGCACACTCAAAATAAAATGGATAATGATTCGAAGAATAAGCGTCCGGAGTGTAAGACTCCAATTCCTTTAGAGAAAGATGTTTCTGAATTGTTTACAACAACAATTTTCTATGAATTTCAATATGAGCTTGAAATTGGATGTTTTAATTGTGGTGTTGAGGAGATGAAGAAGGACAATGAGCTTTACATTTTCAATTTGAGGGAAGGAACTAGAAGGAGGACTTTTGATGTTGTTTTTGATCCAACTACCTTTGATACCAAGTGTTTTTGTAAAAAATTTGAACGTGATGGTGTGCCTTGTAGGCATATGATTTGGGTGTGGAAGGCAAGGATGTTAGAAAAAATTCCCAAGGCCTACGTTCTAAATAGATGGTGTACAATGGCTTATAAGAAGCCCATTTTTGATTTAGAGGGTAATGTGTTGGAGGAATGTATTAATGCAGTAGATAAGAAAATGTTATTAAATGATTTGTGGTCTGAAATTCATGCTTGTGTGAGTTTAGTGCAAAACAATGAAGATGATCTTAGTGATCATGTCAAAAAACTTCGAGCCATGAGGGTAGATTTGGAACAGAAGAAAACAAATGGAAGCAACAATCTTTCGAGCAAAGTTAAAGACATTGAAATGCTTATTGGAGCTAGTCTACCTTCTAATGTTTTAATCAAACCTCCTAAAATTTCGAAGAACAAAGGCACGGGGGTTCATGTTCCAAATCAGGTCAATGTTCCAAATGATGTCCATGTTCCAAATCAGGTTCATGTTCCAAATCAGGTAAATGTTCCAAATGATGTCCATGTTCCAAATGATGTCCATGTTCCAAATGAGGTTCATGTTCCAAATAGTGACAAAAGAATGAAGAGTGACAGAGAAAAGTCTATTGAACAAAGTCAAAAGAAGAAGAGATTATGTAGAGCATGTGGGAGCTTGGTTATCATGATAGTCGTAATTGCCCTGGAAAAGTCAATGATATTGTAAGTAAACTTTATTTTTAATTTTCTTATGTTCTAATTTTCTAAACTTTAAGTTTTAAGTCAAAATTAATATATAATTTATACTTTGTGTTCTAAATTAATATTCTTATTTTCCAAACATAATCTCTAGTGTTTTAAACTAATATATATGTCATGTAATATTATTTTTTTATGTTCTAATGTAATCCATTTAATGTTCTAAAGTTACTTTCTAAGTTCTAGAGTTACTTTCTTTCTATGTTTTAAAGTTATTATTTATGTTTTAAAGTAATTCAATATGCTCTAAAGTAACTATGTTCTAAGCAAGTTTAGAACATAAAGTTATTCATATATGTTCTAAAGTAATTCAATATATTCTAAAGTTACTTTTCTATAATGTTTATTCTTTCTGTTTAATGTAATTCAATATGCTCTAATGTTAAGAACATAAAGTTATTTATTTTGTTCTAAAGTAATTATGTTCTAAGCAAGTTTAGAACATAAAGTTATTCATATATATTCTAAAGTAATTCAATATGTTCTAAAGTGTTTTCTCTATGTTCTAAAGTTACTTTTCTATGTTCTAAAGTGTTTTCTCTATGTTCTAATGTTTATTCTTTCTGTTTTAGTGTAATTCAATATGCTCTAATGTTTAGAATATAAAGTTATTCATTTTGTTCTAAAGTTTTCCTTTATATTTTAACTTTTCTCTTTATGTTCAAAAATATTTTCTTTATATGTTCTAAAGTTTTCTTTATATGTTTTAAAGGTTTCTTTAAATGTTCTAAAGTTTTTACTCTATATAATATCATGTGTTCTAAACTAATAGAAATGGCATGTTATAACATTTTTTAATGCTAAATTATGTGCTTATGTTCTAATATTGTTTTATTTTTTTTCTTTACAGGTTGATGAATATACTATTAATCCAGTTGCATGAGATGTTATATATTTAGAAACAATATCTCATTTAGTAGCACGTAAAATATTATTCATGTAATTCTTAAAAATATAAGAACTCAATTTATTTACTTTTAAAAACAATATATTTTTATTTCTTTTTTGTCCAATTGTTATTCAGAGTATCTCTACTAGTGTTTTTCTTATCAATTTTTATGTTAATTAAAGTTGATTATAATGTTTTATAACATCTCCTGTCTTTTCATCTTCCCCCCTTTTCGTAATTATAAGTTGTTTTATTAAGTCAATTTGAACTACGAGTAATGATAGTACAAGCATTTTAGATACATTTATTAAACAACATTTAGTTGAATCTTGCTCTAATCAACTTTTATTTATTCAAGTTTCTTAACATTGATTTACATATGCCTTCTTAGATATGCACTAAAGAGTGTATGCATTGTATTCAAAAGGAAAAATAAAGCAAAAGTAATGGATTAGAAGCAGCCAGTTTAGAACATAAGCAAATACTTTAGAACATAGATAAAAATAATTAGAATATTAGCAAAATCAATAATTTGGACATGTAATAAGAAAAAAGTACAACATAATAAGATATAATTAGAATCAAGTTACCAATTGAATGCTTTGGAATCTTGTTACTTTGGCTGTTGTCATTTCTTGTTACTTTTTTTTTAATTTTCTTATGTTCTAATGTTCTACACTTTAAGTTTTAAGTCAAAATTAATATATAATAATATATTCTAATATCCTAACTTTATAAGCATATAATTATTAAAACATAATCAAAAATACTTTAGAACATACCCATATAATTTAGAACATGAAT